CTCCTCGTCTTCCTCAAGCCTCCATGTCTTCCCGGGCTGCTTGCCGTCGTTTGCGGAAAATTCCTTCAAAGCCACACAATCTTTTTCGGGATGTGGCTGGTGCGGCGGCGCCGAGGAGCTGTACCCAGCCAGCAGAGACATGCAGCGGTGAGTTCCATCCAATAGGGGCGTTATAGGGGTTCACATGTACTCTGTCTTGAAGATGTGGAATTTTTTAGAGATTTTTTTTTATTTGGGCACCGCCCCTGAAAACTTATTTTTAAGGGTGTTGTGATGTATGCGCCTCTTGTCGTGGTAGGAATATCAACCGCCCGCTGGATTGGTGTCGCAGATATACACCCACTGTACTTCGTACACTTGAGCATCAATGTTGGCAGGGCGTGGCCAACGTGCCGCTGTTCGCGAATACATCATTGACACAACATGGAAACCGTGATGCAACAGAAGAACTAGTCCTCTCCACCAAGAACAACCTCCATCGACACCTCGTGCCCAGCAGACTACACGCACCAGCCCCTCCTCCCCCCGCACGACCACGAGCAAACAGGCCAAAGCCGGACTGCGCAACACTTGACCACATGCATGGGCGCACACTCCCGTCACCAGCCCAGCGGAACCAAGCAGCCAAGCCAGGCAAACAACGTGAACAGCAAAAAGGTGCTCGCGCCCAAGGTGCCGCACGCCGATCCCACACCGCCGCGGAGCATCACCACCACACACACTCCAGCAAATACTACCCGGACCGCGGGACGCCCAGACCACAAAAGTCAACAGCCACGCGGGACCAGAGAGCCCCTCGGTGGTGCCGGCGTCGGCCGACTCGCGCCCATTTTGGCGGCTTTGTTCCGGAACCCCGTGTTGACACCAGGAGAAGAAAGACGTAAAATGCCGCGCTGGGGTTTTCCCCCGCAAATTTTGGATCGAATAAGAAGGGGAAGGGGGAAAGGTGCCTACTTGCACGGATATCCTTGCCCTCTACGGAGTACGTAGGGGGTGAAGAATAATATGAATGATTCGTACTTGATTTATAGTGTAGAGACGCTAGTTATCTCTGTACTTTAAGTACTTAGTAGGTACCTGGGCATGTGCCGTCGTGAAATTCGCAGGGCACGTCTATACGAGGTACACCACTGTACGTATATATATGAATTGTTCTACAGCAGTGTCGTCTCGGAATGGTATTGCGTACGTCTCTACAGTACACTACGTGATATAGTCCCCGGTGTTCTATAGACAAAACTAGGTCCATATCTATTTATTAAAATACTCTACAAACTAGGTATATAGGAAATCCATATAATATAGCAACTTGCAACAATAACCTCGATCGTCTTCAGCATAACCGCCAAGTCAAACTCGATCCACTGCAGTGTACACACGTCACTTCACACGAGTGACACAACCATCGAAAACTCGCCAACCTCCTATTTTTAATTCATTCTCTGCAGCTCTCGAAGCAACGTACTCCGTATACCCCAACTAACTCTAGGCTCCTCTTTTCAGGACCGCCAAGCATTGATGCAAAACTCCATGTCCATCAACGTCAGCCCAGCAATTCAACAGTGACCTGAAGCTCGCTCAGCCCCTCGGGGCCCATAATTGCGGATGAGCACATGCAGCTGGCACCTCGGCAGGACTGAATCTGAAGCTCCCTTCATTTGCTTCGTAATTCCTTGCTGTATCCAGCGCTGCATCCTTGGATTCCGAATTCTATCATTAATGTTAGTAACTATAAAAATAAACTATAACAGTACACGTACAATTATCAACTTACTTCTTGCTGTAACCAGTCTTGGGAGTTTTCGGCACCACACTCCTACTGCTGGAATATGCCAAGAACTAAGCTCAGACCAGAATCGCTCTCAAGGCACTCCATTAATGTTCAATTGTTTCGCTCTGTAGTCAAATAAAATTAAACGCATGATACAAGTATCGTGTAAGCCTAAAATCTAAAACAGTATTAGGCTGTACCAGGCCAAGGACAGTAAGGGATGTATGTATGGGCATATTTTTGGCCATGACAAGGGCCCAACCGATATTAGGATATCGACCAGGCGGGCGCTTGATGAAACCAGCCAGCGGGAGCGCGAATAAGCGCGCGGCCCTGAAGATTGGTCTGAACCTAGGAGAATGATTTGTTAGCAAAGGGCCTTTTGTGTGCTTTTTTTTTTCACTGCTTGCATGCATGAGCAGCGTAAGAAGCTCACCAGACTGCACTTCCCACAGGGTCAGCTGACCCTAGTCCACACAACATAAGTTTTACTCCCCCACTTTCTTTCTCCCTTTATTGTTCCCACACCTGCCTTGACGCAACACCGCAACACCGCTTTGATCAGCACAATCATTTCAAAACCCATCTATTACTCTGTTCATTACATTCTCCTTACTTTATTAACCGCTGTGGAGAACGACCTCACTGATGTGCAAGGCCAACTTGTTGATGTTCGGAGAGAACACACTGAGTTTCGGACAGAACTCGCTGATCTTCGGCGCGAGTCGAATAGACTTGCGCAACAACTCGTGGATCAAAATAACAATCTTCACCACCAGATGAATGCACTTGCGCAGCAAATTCTGAATCAAAATGCCTATCTTCATCGCCAGACAAATGATCGTATTTCACAACTCAGTACTCAAGTAGGCACACTTGAAGATAAATTTGTTACACTACAAAGAACCATGGAACAAAACCACACTACTCAACTTGCAAAACAACACAATCAAACTGTGAGAATACGAAACCAATATGATCTTGTGATCAATCCAAACCATGAATTATTTCCGCTTCGAAATGTACTTACGGGAGTTAAGATCCCCAATTGCCCAAGAAGCAGGGAAAGTATTCAACGCCTATCTCACCCAGAGGTTAATCGTTTCCTCATTGCATTGGACCTACCTCAACAAGGTACTCTTAACCAGAAAAGATTGACTCTAACAGAAGCATTCTGTTAATGGAGTGCCTTGACTGAGGCTATCGCGAGATGGCCTTGGCTAGCGGCCGCGGCGCGGTACTAATTGCGCTGAGACGGTCTACTTTTCTAGTCTCCTACTATTCTTGGCCTGGTACAGCCTAATACTATTTTAGATTTTATGCTTATATAATACTTATATTATATATGTAATTTTATTTAATTATAAAGCGAAATAATTAAAAATTAATACCCCTTAGTATATTATTATACCCCTTAATATATTCTTATATTTCTTAGTATATTCTTATATTTCTTAGTATATTCTTATATTTCTTAGTATATTCTTATATTTCTTAGTATATTTTTATATTTCTTAGTATATTTTTATATTTCTTAGTATATTCTTATATTTCTTAGTATATTTTTATATCTCTTAGTATATTCTTATATCTCTTAGTGTATTCTTATATCTCTTAGTATATTCTTATATCTCTTAGTGTATTCTTATATCTCTTAGTGTATTCTTATATCTCTTAGTGTATTCTTATATCTCTTAGTGTATTCTTATATCTCTTAGTGTATTCTTATATCTTTTAGTGTATTCTTATATCTCTTAGTGTATTCTTATATCTCTTAGTGTATTCTTATATCTCTTAGTGTATTCTTATATCTCTTAGTGTATTCTTATATCTCTTAGTGTATTCTTATATCTTTTAGTGTATTCTTATATCTCTTAGTGTATTCTTATATCTCTTATATTAAAATTTTTAATTAGTAAATATCCTTGTTCGGTACAAAATCGGCACTTTCAAACACCCAAAGGGATACGACGCACCGTACACTAGATGATCCTGGAACATCAAATGTAAAATTGGCGCGACCCAAGCCGCTCGCTGCGGCAGTTGTACCAATCGCTTCGGTCAAGCAAGGGTACTGCCGTCGTCGCCATGGCCAACATCCAGGGTATCCTGGCTACCGGAGCTGGGGTGTTTCAGGCGTTTGCTCAACAACATGCATCCATACATCCATGACTAAACACCAATGTCATCAATGCCATGAATTTCCCATGACGGAAACACATCATACATAGTCCCTACGTATGTAAATTTCCATGTCAATTTGGCCACAGCGTATTTCCACAAAGTCGTAGCGGTGAGCATGTCCATGAGTCTATTAGCACTGCATCCCTGAACCCAGAACCCAGAATCAGTTTGCCCTCCTCTACTCCGTACGTAAATGAAAACAAAAGAAGACTAATTCGCATCGCGACGACGCTTTCGGACCAAGGGCCTTCTCCCTCCCCTCCTCCCCCATTAACCATACCATTGTCATGGCATCGTTGGTTGCCCAACGAGTACAACATGACAGAATCATGGGCATGGAAACCCGCAGCAGCCAAAGTAAGTGCCCTGCGGCAGGACCCTCCGTATGCCAGCCGTGAAGCCGTCGTAAGATCAACAAACGACTCTCCATCTCGTGCTACTTTGCACCATCGCGTTTCCTCGCCCCGGCCCCGATTGCCAGGTGAAGGCATAAAATCTGACAACGAAAATAACAGAGAATAAGGTTGCTTGTCGTAGAATTGCTCATTGGCATGTTACGTGGTCAACATTCTCCAGATTTTGTGCTCGTGTCCGTATCCTGAAAGTCCGTTCAAAGATGATACCTGCCTCCTCCCTGATAGCATATGCACCCCCGACCACGTGTCTGCCCCAACATCAGCATCCCGCGGCGCCTGGGCGTACCATCGCTCTCTAATTATAGTAGCCATTCATGCGCCCAACCTCTTCCTGCTGCTCGGCGAGGTATTCTTCGAAATAAGGGTGGTTGCAGGCTTGCTTGGCCGAGATGCGGCCCGCCGGGTCATATACCAGCATCATTTCGAGGAGCTCTAGGCCCTTTTGATCCAGGTTCTGGCAGAGGGGTTGCCTATAGTCTCTCTTCCACTTAGGGAATGATGATTTAAAGTCGGGGTATGAGGTGACGCCAGGCCAGACCTCCTCATCTGGAGTACCAAGGTTTCTAAATGACGCAATGAATTAGTCCCAATTCCGCATGAAAAATACGCTTCATGTTTTGAGAGTATATTTAAGGCGTGGAATGGAGGAGGAGGGGAACTTGCCGGAAAATCTTGAAAATCTCGTCAATTTCCGAGTCACCGGGGAACAACGGTTTCCGGGTACACATTTCGGCAAAGATACATCCCACTGACCACATATCGACACCAGTCGAGTATTGTCTTCCACCGAGTAAAATCTCCGGAGCTCGATACCACAACGTCACCACTTCATGGGTATACGTTCGCAGGGGCACGCCAAAGGCACGGGCAAGGCCAAAATCAGCCAGCTTCAGGTTGCCCTCCTTGTCAATCAGCAAGTTTTGGGGCTTCAAATCACGGTGAAGCACTCGACGTGAATGGCAGTACTTGATGCCCTCGCACAACTGCATCATGAACTTCCGGACAACAACTTCGCCAAGGCCGAGCTGCATAATGGTCGCTGAGGATCCCTCGGGCAGAGCTTTGCCTCGGCCACCATCGCTGACGGGTAGCGCCTCCATGTACCTCTTCAGATCTAGGTCCACGAACTCAAATACAAGGTAGAGCTTGTGGCCGTCGGAGTGGACAATGTTAAACAGGCGGACAATGTTGGGGTCTCTCAATTCCTTGAGAAGGGAGATTTCTCGGATGGCAGTGCTGGGGACACCTTCGTCTTCGGCTTCGAGGCGAATCTTTTTGAGGGCGACTATGCGGCCACTATTGGCAAGGTCACGCGCCTTGTAGACAACACCATACGTGCCTGGTTGAGTCAGTCCATCGTGCTTGACTATGAGGGGCAGCAGTAATTCATGCCACTCCTCGCTGACTGCAGCAATTGTGCCACCGTCCCAGTGCAACTCATGAACTCACCCTCGCCAACCTTTTCCAGCTTCTGATAGTTATCCATGTTGAAAGCGGTTCGGGGTTTCTCCCTCACAACAACAACAACAAGTCAGTGCGGGTCGAGAGCTGGTCGCGCTGTCGGGGTCTAATTTCACAGCCCAGCGTCTAGGCGGATCGTCGCTGCGCAGGAACAGACAAAAGCGACGTCGACCGGGCAGAGGGAGTATCGTCGGTGGCGGATGGATGGACAATGGAACAGCTTGCCACTGCCCTTGCTCTCTCCCTCGGAATGGGGAATGGAACGACGTGGGGGTGGTGAGGCAAAAGCAGAAGGAAGAAATTCACAGACGGTCTGGTGTCGTCACCCCAGCAAGCAAGCGAGGGGTCAACACACACGCAAGAGTCGCGATGGCGCGGGGTGGACGCGCCTTGGCAACTGGGGGAACCGAAAATAAATGAAACAAAAAAATTTAATAAAAAAAATTACAAAGGGGCAAGAAGAGGGAGAGACAAATAGCTGTGGTTTAGTCACATACGGCGGGCGCAATGAAACCGTTTCTCAACCAAGAGACGAAAATACTCTTGTCAAGTCCAGAAAGTCGGTGCAACTGGACCTGACAACTCGACAGGCAAGCTTGTTGCTCGTCTCGAGTCTGTGTTTTTGGACAACCCTGTTTGTTGTGTTTACTTGGACTCGGCTGGCAACACACCACTCACGGCTCCTGAACCGTGGGAATGGTACTCGATTAGGTTTAGTTGGAAAGTTTAGCTGAGTTGTCCCTGCAACTCGCGTCTTCAGTCGGGCACAAGTTGCCATACTGCTTATCGATAAGGGACAGCCACCACTAGAACCCCTCAACGTTGCAATGCGCGCTTCCAATAATAGTACTCGCACCTGAAGCTGTAGTGTCGCTCATCATCTTCACCGACACCTCTGGCTTCTATATTTGGCTTAATATACATGTCCTTGACAAAAATTTCCCCCCAGGACTGGATTCTCATTTGACAGCAGATACCGTCAGCACGGTACGTATCCCGGCAGATGACGGGCTTGATACCCATCAAGCCATTGTAATTACTAGTACAACCAATGTTTGCCCAACCCTCGATTCTCATCACCAACACTCGGTGCAGCTCACTCTCCATGGATCATGACTCTGCAAGCTTCTTCGCCCCAGCACTTCCTTCTGCCCGCCTCAAATCCAAAATTTTACCCAAGTTCAGATGGCCCTTTGCTCCCCATCCGGATGGTCCAGCTTCCACATCGGGCCGCACAGAAACATACCAGCTCCAGGCTCTTCGATCGAGCTCGTCTTTCCGCAATACGCCAGCCCAGCTCTTGTACAACAGCCTCAGCGCCCCAAGTAATCTCCCCAGGTTCTCTTGCCTTTCATCACTCACCGCCGTCAGCGTCTTCTTGGTCTCACTCCCACCGCCGTCAACCGCAGCCGTCCCAAAACTCCGCAGGAGGTAGTTCCTCGCGCCTTCGGGGCGGTGAATGGGCATCCCCACCGTTGTAAGAGACGGCGTCTTGTTTTCAGGGTCCAGACCCCAGAGTGCTTCCCCAGCCAGCGTAGACTTTCGTCCGCGGGAAGACAGCGCGTCGTTGATGCATTCTCTCATGAGGCGCCATCTATCTGGACCTAGCATAATGCCGCCGTACCACCTCGTCAGCACAACGAGCGTATTCGTGACATCCGCTTCGCGCATGGTTTGTAGCATAAACTTCCCACAGCCAGATTCTCCGTCGTCAAATGAAGCTTCTTGAACCAGTGGCGAGTTGCCATAGCTCGTTCGCAAGGCCCATGCGTTGTGCGTGGCTGTTTCCAGTTCCGGTTTATCCGTCATGAGACCATTCATCAAACCCGTCCGAAGAGAAGGCGAAGATAGGCTTGCGGCATGCGCTACGAATGTAGACGCTCGAGATGTCAGTTTCTGGCTCGCGACCCATGCCTTCTGCTCGCCCGCCGACGACGACGACTCTGGCTTGCTGGGCCCCTCTGTCGAACCTGTAGTCTCGTCTTCTAGTTGATCCGATTTCCATGAATATCCGCTCCTTTTCAGAACTGGAATCTCGCGCCCCAAAACCCTGACTTTTGGCTGCCCCTCGGGAACCTGCTCCTCACCTCCAGGAGGCGCCTTCTCAATGCCAATGCTAATCGCCTTGGATCTCGAATTTGCACTCACAACCGCCTGACCCAGGCTCAATCTGCTGCTCGGAGGCTGTTCCGGCATGGTAAAGCGAAGCAATTCCACCGCAAACGCAAGCACAAGCGGCGCTCTGTTTGTCACCAACGTCGTCTTTCGAATTGTCTCTTCGTCCTCAACTAGTGGCAAACTGAGCGAGCTTTCCAGCTCTTCCGCGCTCATCGAACTGTAGTCCAAGTCTCGTTTATGAGGCTCCAGTCTAGGTTTCTTGGAGGTGGGAGAGGTCGATTCCTCAGCAGCACGCTTGGTCGCCTTTTTCCCGTGCGTTTTGCACGCTGTGTGGAACGACTTGGCCAGTTTGGCGTCTGAGATGGCGGCTTCTACTGCAGAGAGAGGCGCTTCTGCAATTTGCTCAATGCTAATTTTTTTTCTTCAATTGGTATCTTGCTTCTCAGAATGTGTCTGTGTTCAGATGTACCTTCTTAGGTTCTTGGCCTGGAGCGCTTTGATGTGACCCATTGCTGCCATCATGGGAACTTTGCGTGAAGTGAACATGCGCAGCAGCTCCTGCAAGTCGCCGTGCCCCGACATGCTCAGAAATCTATCAAGTCGACAATATCGTGACTGGGAATCTTTCTTTCCTCCCTTTTCTCGTTTCCTAGTCTTGGAATGTGTCCAGGGCGAGTTCTTTGTCAAGATCTGAATGTTGAAACAAGAAGCAACCTTGATGCGCGCTGCGCGCCTCGTTTCCCTGCCGTGAAGTGAAGCTTGGACCCTCTTCAGCCTCGAGAGGTTCTGCCCCCACATCGGCTCCGAAACGTCGGGCCGTTCACACATCCGGATCAGCCCTGACGTCTTTTTTAAAACATGCAAAACGGCTACGTTTGCCTTGTCACTATCCGGAATTGGAAGCTGACGCCAGATTCTGCGACCGGTCACCCATAGAAAACAAGCCATGCAGTACCAATGATGGTCACCACGCGTGGCTTCGCTAGAGCCACTTGCCTCCCCAGGCGTTTTGCCAGCACAGCTTCCAAAGCTGCTCGCAAACAGCCACCTGCTCCTGCTCCTTCTCCTCCTTCTCCTCCTCCTCCTCCTCGCCTCTCCAAGTCCTATAAACCGTAAGTTGTCCCCCAACTCTACAGGAAACTGTCCGAGTCTCACACCTCAACTCCGTCGTAGCAGCCCTCGCAACGCCCCATCTCAACCCCGACGTGCTCCGAATCCCTCACGGTCCAGCGATACCCTCCAGTCCCTCTGGCGCCGCTCGTGGCTCCCGCTCTCCGGAGCCGCCCTCCTCTCCGGCTTCCTGGGCTTCTACATCGTCGGCACCGCGGCCGCCTCCCTAAAAACCCGTCCCTGCCAAGCGCTCTGCGAGCACGCCGCGCCGACCGGCCGCCCGCCCGCCCTGACAGGCGACAATGCCGAGCAATTCGACAAGGAGCTGGACCTGCCCGAGTGGTGGATGGGCATCACCAAGCTGCGCAAGAAGCTGGCCGGCCACGCAAAAGGCAACGTGCTGGAACTGGCCGTGGGCACCGGCCGAAACCTCCAACACTACAACTGGGATGCGCTTTCCGGGACGCACCCAGCGCCGGGGAAGCAGACCGCCGCCGGGGGGATATCCTCGTTCACGGGGCTAGATATATCCGCCGACATGCTCGACGTCGCGCGCAAGCGACTCGTCGCGGCGGTCCCGCCAGTGGCCGATTCTGAGCCCAGCGCAGGGAGATCGACGCTGGCGGACCACGCGGGCGGGCGGCTGTCCTTGCTGGATGATCGGCTGCGACTGATTTGCTCGGATGCGCATCGTCCTCTTCCGCGGGCGGCGGGTGCGGGTGCGACGCGGCTGTCCTCGTCCGCGTCGGACGCGACGTACGATACGATTATACAGACGTTTGGGCTTTGCTCCGTGTTGGATCCCGTCGCGGTTTTGTGCAATTTGGCATCCGCTGTCAAGCCGGACACCGGTCGCATCATTCTGCTCGAACACGGCAAGGGATGGTATGGGCTCGTCAATGGTCTTTTGGATAAAAATGCAGAAAAGCATTTTGAGAAATACGGCTGTTGGTGGAACCGCGACATTGAAGCGCTTGTCGACGAAGCCGTGCAAAGGACACCAGGACTGGAAATAGTCAAGCTAGATCGACCAAACATCATGCAAATGGGTACTTTGGTCTGGGTAGAACTACGCATGAGGGGCAAGAGGTAGGTCCGTGTGTGAATCAATAAATGTACGATCAAGTCGAGATCCTCTTGTACAGTAGACAATTAGACAGATAATAATTTCAGAAGCAGTGAGTGGCATATCATTTTGCGATCCTGTATGTGTCTGCTTTGCGCTCCAAGGCCAGTCTCCCCTTTTTGTATTCTAGAGAATCAACTGTTTGTTTCTCTTCATCTCCTCGTACATTGAATCATTCCAAAATCACACTCAAGACAATCTATATATACATGTACCTCTACCACCAACTCCTGAAGAGGCCAACAACAGACGAAAATAAATATCAAAACGTGGCGTCAAAAGACCCAACCCTTTCGGCTATGCTCATTTTATTGCCGCCTACTCCAATAACTCCATGCGCCTTGCGCAAAATATACGTAACCAATAAGTTAAAATTGTGGATATGGGAGGGAAAGTATTAATACGAGAATATAGTGTCATCAGCAAGTGTCCAACAGGCAGTCAAGCTCGTCGATCTCGATGCTTTCTGCGGTTCTATCCCATTCAAAGAGCAAATTGAGCTTCAGCCAGCTGTCAGCATCGTCGTCTTTGCGCATTGTCGACAAGGGACTCGGCTTGATAGCCGGACTGGTCAAAAAGGCAGCGGTCGGAAGAGCACGGTCGCCGAACCACATATCGTCGCGATAGCCGTACTCAATAGTAGGGTTACGCTCGGCAGTCTCAGAACTAGTAGGAGTGTTGTCGTGGGTAAATTTACGTTTTTGAAGAACGTCTGCAGTTTGTGTGAACTCGCGTTCATCAGTTTCCAAAGGCGGAGAGTCCCGGCGCAAGTCTCTTCCATGTCTCAAGTGATTATTGTGAGTTTTGAAAGAACCCATGGGCGTAATTGGCATGCCCACGTCGTCCTCCATGTCACCAAACTCCGGCGACGAAAGGTCTACCTCAGGGGAAGGACTCAACTCTCTTCGGCGACCATCAACATCGTCAGATCCAGAATCATCGGTCAAAGATACGGAGGGAGAGACGATAGCAGGGAGATTGATTGGCTGAGTGATGCTGGAATCCGGAAGAGGCTGTCGCGGGCAAGTAGTGAGAAAAAAGTACGTGCGGCGGGGGTGAACAGTCTCGAGTTCTTTAGCCAGGGGGCAGGGAACAAGAGCAGTCCAGCACGGCCGTTTCATGTATGAGGATAAGCGGGAGGAGATGATGGCGCACGGATTGGCAGATCTAGGCGAACAAAGGGGTCAGCGATTTGACCCAACGAAAAAAAGGTTTGTAGTAGACGGGTAATAACTCACTGTTGGACAGAAGACAATGTCTGGGTGAGAACAGTCGCCAATTCTTTGATGAGGTGCGGTCTGTTAGCTGTCGACTGCAGCTGAACAATTGAGGCCTCAACAATGTCATCATTAATACCCTCGAGATCAACCTTGCGTATCGCGTCCAAGTCGGACATGTCGACGCTGGTGGCCGGGGTGGGCGAAGGAGGAGGCGTTTGCTCGACGATGCCTTCAGCGGGCGCAGAGGTGGCACCGTGTGATCGCTTGAGGCGCTTGCTTGGATGTGAGTCCATAGCATCGACTGAAGGGTCTGAAAGATGCGCCGACGTAGCTGGAGAAGATGACGATGACGATGACGACGGAGAGGGAGGTCTTCTCGGGGCCTTTGTTGAGGCAGCGGCAGCGCGAGCAGCGTGCGTCACGGGAATGTGTATACCCAGGCTGGGCAGGGACAATGATTTGCGACGCGTGTTGTACGGCATCCTTGCTGTGTTTGCGCGGCGAAAGGATAATAAAAAAAAATGGAAAAGAAAAGTCGAGGGATAAAGGGGGGTTGATACTAATGCCAAGTTGCGAGGCGAAGCTGAAAGGCGAGTCGACTCTCTATTAGAAGATACTTGGCGTAAAAGGGGGATGCAACGAGGCTGTAGCGGAACAGTGTGAACTTCCCACGATGCAAAACACAGCAGGACGGGTTGCCCGGTTGCAGGATGAGGAAAAATAATAAAGAAGGAGGGCGGATTTCGATAGTACACGAAGGGAGGGGATTCGAACAGCCGGCCGGCCAGGATGGGGATGGGGGACAGGTGAGGATTGGGACCTGGAGACATTTGGGACGGGAGGCGAAGACAGCCTCAGGCGATTTCCAGCGTTGGCTGGGAAAAGGCAGGCAAGCACGAGAGCTTGAACTTTTTTTTTTCTTTCCCCTAACATCCTATTGGCCGGCAGCTGGATGCAAGCTTGCCGAAGTGGGACCGCTAAACGTCAGTGGGGCTGCAGCCATCGATGCGTCAAGTCAACGCTAGGTCGGCACAAAAAATGGGGCGAGGCGGACCAATGGCCTTTCACGGTGAGCTGGAAAAGCCGCCTGTCCGGCCAGTTTGGGTTGAACAGGGAGGCGCATTCCAGGCGGGACGAGGGACCCTGCCTGCTTGCCTGCCTGTTATGTTTCCATCACTTGCGCAAGAAGCGTTTGGGTTGAGTTTTGGCGGGTGGAGAGGGTAGGAGCAAGCCATTGTCTGTCTTGTGTCCCTGTCACTGCATAATCTGATAGCCTGGTCCCTGGAGGGCGGTCAATCCAAACAAAAGAAAAAAGCCGTGCGTTACCGCCATTGCGAGGCAATGATGGTCATTTCGTCCTTTGTTTTTCTTCAGCCGCCACTTACACAACTTATGTACGTTGTTCTCCATGTAACTTACGTACGGAGGTTGCACGGGCAGTCACCGACAACATTGACGTCCTCGCTCTCCTGATTGAGCTTCCGAGTCCCTCCAACAGAAGGGGGCTTCGACGCCAGGGGGATAAGACAAGGACAAAACATGACAATGACAGTTCAGGGTGAGCTTGGCATTTTGGCCGATGAAGCTCGACAGTCTGTTCACGACTATCTTGGTACGTGGTGCACATACGAGATACAGGAGTGTCGATGCAGCGGCATTGGCCTTGAAGATGACCAGCAGGCTGCTTCAGTAACCCCTTCGCATCGCGTGACCGCCTCTGCGATTACTACAATCAGAACGGACTCAAAGGCTCGTCTAATGCCAATTTCTTTTCTCGTCAGGACGTCGCCGATCAACGAGAGTCAAATTCTGGCATCGGTCGACCGTGTCATCGATTATATAACGAGCTGCTGTTATTTTGGTTGCAAAAGAAAAGAAATAAACCCCGCAGCATGGCACTGCATTTGAAAATAAAAGTTGTAACTGATGAACCATGTTTCGCTGCATGTCGCTCACCGCCCAAGGGGACCAACTGCCTGTGGTAGTACGGCACCATCTGGAAGTGATGTGCGGTTCGGGGGGTAAGGCAGGGGAATGGCGTGCGTTTCAAGAGCCTCGTCCTGTTTGGCGTCATGTCGCTAGCACGACTGTGGCTGGGTGGCTCGATGCGATGAATCTGATTGCTCGTTGGTGTCCTGCTCGAGTCCCGGATAACGCCCCGGTGTCCTCCCAAGCGATAGTAGAAGTTACATTGTACAGTACTACCGCCTGGTACTGGTTTACCCCGTACGGAGCACTCGTACGTCTCTCACAATTGTTTGCGTCGCTGCAGCCTGCCATTGTCCCAGACCAGCTGAGCTGGGATGCGACCTGACGAAGCTGGCCCAAGCCGAGTACGACTTTCCTTTTGGTATCGATTCTTCATCAATTGATACTTTTGCGCCCGTTGGCGTTCGAGCGATTCCTCACGCCAATCGTCCGCCAACGATGTAATGTTAATTTATTCTTCTTGTTTGGTCTGGTCTGGTCTTGGCCTGGAGTTGGCATGAGTCGTGACCTCATCAAGATACGCGGGCCCCTCTTTTCACTTATTCATTCCCACACGTTAAACACCTACCCTGGAAGGACGGATGTGCTTGGTCGCTTTATGCAGCATTCGAAAGGTTTCAATCGACCAGGAGTAATATAGGCCACCCACCATATGTATATATGTAGGTGATCAGAGGTGTCTTGCATACGGAGAACATGGTAGTAGTTTCGATCTGTGATTGCTTGCATGCTTCTGCAGAAACAGGTCGAGACGTGGATGCTCGGAGTGCATCTTTTTCAAGTTCCAGGGTCCCGGCCATGCATTTGGAGTCGGCTCACCTCTTTCACCAAAGAAATGGGGCGACCAGGAAGTACCTCATTTATTCACCAGTTCAACGGCCCCGACCTGGAGGCTTTCGCACATCTCTTGAGACCCGGAATGGCTCGTGGAGACTTGCTTACATAAGATTATTGTATGGCAGAGGAGTCTCCACGAGTCATGCCGCGTCTCAAGAGATTCGAGCCGGAACAAATACCCACATCTTCAGGGTCTCGGCGGAACGGGGCCAGCGACCCATCAAATAAATGCCTATACGGGGTCTTCCGGTCCATCTCGTGGGTGTGGAACTTTGTTCAGAGTGCTCATTTCCGCATGTCAATTCCTTATCGACTTATCGATACGTGTTCCCAGGCAATCGCGGAGCTTTCTTGCCGGTGTCCATCACCAAAGCAACTCCATCACACCGAGGACACGCCTTGCGGTTGACTTGCAGGACGCCCTTGTGCTGGGTCTCCCAAGGACCATGTTGAAGAATTGACCAATAAGCATGTCCATCGTCGTGAGTAGAGGGGGGCCCAAGGCTGGAACTGGGCCGCCTTGTACATAAGATGTGGTTTTGCTGGCTAACTTCGGCTAATTGGAATCTGCACAGTTCCAGCTTGGAGAAGCTGCTGAGATGGCTTCAGTTAAGACGCCATCAGCCGAGACTGACCGAAATCGTGACGTAGGTTGACTCAACTTTCACATTGTCCCTCACGACATCTCTTGAGCCGAAATCAGGATTTAGATCCCATCTCTTTACTTGGTTAAATACTTGAATTCACCGCCACCTCGCACATCATCACATCTCACTCAACATCACACCACCACCACAACACCCACTTACATAAACCAGCAAAGGCTCAACAACCCCCAAAATGCCCACCGAACTCCCCTTCGTCACCCTCGACGTCTTCACAACTACCCCCTACCGCGGCAACCCTCTCGCCGTAGTCACCATCCCGTCCACCCTCAGTCCTCCTCCCACCCAAGCTCAAAAGCAAGCCATCGCCCGAGAATTCAACCTCTCCGAGACCGTCTTCATCCACGATGTCGCCAACCCTGAAACCACCAAGACCCGCAACATCGACATATTCCTGCCCTTTGCAGAGATCCCCTTTGCAGGCCACCCAACCATCGGCACCGCCGTCTCCCTCCTCGACCAGGGCGTCGACACGCTCGTCACCAAGGCTGGCCCCATTCCCCTGAAGCAGACGGGCAAGCGTTTCGTGCAGGCCAGCATACCGCACGACGTGCACGTCCACGCCAAGACAGCGAGGCAGCTCGGGCCCGGGAACCTGTACTCCGTGGAAAGGCTGCAGGCGGATAACGAGATTCGCGAGCGGGAGCTCAGTGCCCCGGTGGTTAGTATCGTCAACGGCGTCACTTTTCTGTTGATCAAGCTGGAGAGTTTGGAGCAGCTGGCAAAGGTGCAGCAGACGGGTGTCGAATTCCCGCCCGAGGAGCTGCTGGACGAGGGTTGGAAGAAGGGATTGATTGCGAGGCTTTACTTCGTCAAGACGGGGGAGAAGAAGGACGAGTCCGGCTCCCCGGTGCAGGTGCTTCGGACAAGGATGATGGAACATTCATTCGAGGACCCGGCTACCGGGTCGGCGGCGTGCTGTCTCAGCAGCTATCTTAGCATCGAGGGAGACAAGCAGACTACTCCCAAGCGGCGATATGAGATCACGCAGGGCGTTGAAATGGGCAAAGAGAGCAACATTGTTGTCGAGGTGGAGATGAAAGACGACAAGATTGACAATGTACAGCTGGCTGGTACCGCTGTTCAGGTCATGCGTGGGCACGTCTTATTGTAAGCCGCAAACAAGATTGAATGAACACGGTAGTAGCGCGAGCAGTCTTGGTAGACAAAAAAGAGTTGCAATTCAACTAGTATGTGCGTTTCTACTTTGCTCCGGCTAGCCTTTCCCGCCGGAAACAACCTCCCCAAAGCCAACTCCCGCGCCGCATGCTGATTCTTGACCAAAAAAGAACAAAATGATACGCCGTGATATTTGACCTCCGCACTACATCATGGCAGACGCCCGTCTATCGTACATTAGTACAGGTATTACAGCATGCTCCAGCCCCTGTGTACCCTGTCTCTATTTCCCCCAAAACAAAGACAAGTCGTGTGTACCCGGCTCTGAGTCATATCCATTCCTAAATCATGCTATTCTTGTTGTCGTTGTTCCCATTCAAATTAGTCACAAATATGGACACGATGTCTTCTTTGATTCCCTGAATCTTGCGCCGCCCGAGTTTTTACGGCGTTACTACTCCATTAAAAATTTGGGTGCACGTTACTGCTCTCGTGACATGCACACCAAAGTGACCCCAACTTAAGCTCTTTGAAGAGCAGCGGCGAACCGATCTGCGACCTAAATGTCATTCGTTGGTTAGCAATCTTTTTGCCCGGTTCTCAAAGGGTCAGTGCTGTTTTGGAGCGTACCTCTGGGGTTGATTTAATAAAAGGAAGGTCAAAGAACATGTACTTTTCGTTCTTCACAAGTTCCAAAACCGTCAACATGAGACCCCATGGCTGAGGCCAGTATCCAACCAGTCGCTCCAGAAACACTCGGGTAATCTCCTGACGAATGTCTGACTCTTCAGGATCATTAAGATCCTTTCCAAAAATATAGAGAAGGACCTGGCTGAAGAATTCTGTAAGACTATTCGGGAATCGTAATTGAT